GTCCGAGATTCGTGTATGTCTCGAATTTGTCATGAACTCCTTGCAGGCTCCCCAACCTTTCAGCGAGATGATGGATATTGCCAATCCGTTCTTGTTTGCGTGTGCAAACGGTGTCATTAACACCGAAATCGGAAAGTTGCTTGCATTCCATCCTGCTCACATGTGTTCGCGCGCGTCGAAAGCAACTTTTCGTGGAATGCCAAATGCCGGGAGCCGATTCGAGAGGTTCCTGCTTGATTGCTTCAACGATGACAAAGAAGTACTCGAATAGTATCAGCTCTTCTGCGGCTATTGTATGATGGCAGATACGAGTGAACAATTGTTCCTCGTCAAGCAAGGCAGTGGAGCTAATGGAAAATCGTTGACAAAGCTGGCAAGTCTCGAAGTTCTAGGCACTTACGCTGTTGTTATGTCAGAAGGCTGCATCATTGAGGCTGGTAAACGGTCGGCTGGCGCGGCTTCGAGCCACATTATGGCTCTTCGAGGCGGGCGGCTCGCTGAGACCGACGAGTCGGGAGAGAAAGCAATCTTGAATGAGGCCGCAATGAAAGCCCTATCGAGCGGGGGGACCACTACAAGGCGCGAGCTGCATAGCAGACAAGAGACGTTCGAGCTCACTGTGAAGACCGTCTCCAACACGAACTACAAGCCTATTCTTCAGAACGTATCCTACTGTGTCACTCGACACTTGGCACTACTCCCGATGTTGGTCACTTTTTTACCTTCCAAAAAGCTTGACTCTAGCAAACCACGCCAAAAGCTTATTGATACGACATTGGAAACCTATTTGAAAAGCGACCAAGGTCGAGACGAGGGTCTTTCATGGTACGCAGAAGGAGCAAGACGTTATCATGAATTCAAGCGAGCGAATCCCAACACGCTGCCACTGATGCGCAGACCTCGTGTCATGGAAGAAGCTGTTAGAGCATACATCAACGACTCGGACATAGCTAGGCAATGGATCGTCGACTGTCTCGAATTCGAAGATCTCCAACCCGGGGAAAGAGCGACATGGCACTTAGCCGTTGGCGAACGGCTCGGAGAGGTGTTCCGAGCTTGGTTGAAGGAAGAAGACTTGACTAGCTCTCTGTCAGCAACGGCGCTAAAAAAGCGCATCGTGGAGTATGCTGAAGGCAGGAATCGGCTGGTTACAGACGGTCGATTTACGGATAGCCAGATTCAATCCCGAGGACAGTTCAAAGGCCTTTCGGGGGTTCGACTGAAGTCTGGCTTCGAACCTCATGCGTAAGAGTGGACGACGACGGTCGGAGCACGCGTTTGCATGCAGATGAGAGCTATAGAACTTGCAAGCTGGTTGTTTGATAAGATATACATTCCTTGTCTGAGTTCTCGTCTGAAGGTCTGCAGACCAGATGTCTATAAGACCACGATTTCAAGTAATTTCGATCTCGGAATTCTTGGAGACTTCTGGTCTGCAGACCAAAAGTCTATAAGACCACGATTTCAAGTAATTTCGATTTCAGAATTCTTTTAGGGACCATGATTGCTATAATAGAAAAGACCTGGGATCCGGGTCTTCTGGGCTTCTGGTCTGCAGACCAATAGTCTATAAGACCACGATTTCCAGTAATCTCGACTTCAAAATTCTTCAGGGACCATGATTGCTATGATAGAAAAGACCTGGAATCCGGGTCTCCTGGGCTTCTGGTCTGCGGCCCCATCTAGGCACGATTGTGCCACTGGCACAAGTACCTTTCACGTTTGCACCGAAGTGGCATAGCTTCTTCAAGTGATAATAACCATACATTAAGCACATCGATGCTGTTGGACCATGCATGCAACATATGATAGAACATACAAGTCATGGTAACAATTCGGTTGGTGTTTCGATTGTTTCGACAGTGTTTTCAGTACATCAAGAGTCGTTGCCGTACAGACGGGCTCCATGTGTCTGCTCTGCCCGCAATGCGCAGCTTTGGTTCGTCAACGCGTGCTAGATCGCTATTCCGTCCGCTGACCAGGTTAGCGAGAATGACCATGAACGCTATGAGGCTGCTATACCACGCTTGCGTCTTGAAGTTTACGAGAAACGCGCTGCACGACTCCACTGCCGATGTATTGACCCATCGCACGGAGTCGTAGTAGTGTGCATGTGATTCATACGAGGTCTAAGTTAGTCATCATAGAAAAGCTTTCAGACATGGCGTTGTAGAAGAATGTTGCATAGACATGCACTTTCGAAAGGCAGTCAGAACTTGCCTCCCTATTCTATAGAAGAGAGAGGGCGTTTTTGACTGAGTCTTATTAAACTTGCTTCTTTGCACACACAATCTGGATGGGTGGCCCCTTCGAGCCAAGTCAAAGTACATGTGCCTTGCAGATGCATCAGGGTCTTACCTGTGTTGTATGATGGACCGCACTTGTGCGCCTCGGCGGTTGTATGGTGGAAGTGGAATCTGCAAGGATCAAGCACGGATTGAGAACAAAATATGTACAGCGGTGCACAGCTGAGGAAAGTCGCAATGCACTATGGCAATGGCATGGAAGATTACACGCATTGCTCTCAACAAAGAAGCCCCCTTGGCTTGCGCAATCTTCGGACCTTACCTATCGACCAGGAACCGAACGTGCGCAAAGAACGCCGGCTCTCTCCGCATCGCGTAGGCGCGCAGCTTGCAGGCGTTGTCGTGGACGAGAATCAGGGGAAGATTTCTCCGATTGAGTCGAGTGTAGAGGATGGTGAAGGGATCTCGCGGCGATTCCCCCCGTAGCATGACGTGGAAACCATAGATGACACAATGAGGGCACGTAAAGACGAAGCCGCCCTTTGTGTGCCGTTGCAAGCGCTTGTTCTTCTTTATCCCGCTTTCTAGAGCAACCTTGGCATCGAATTCCCCGAAGGTGAGCCCGCTTCGACACCGGTGCTCCTCGTCGCTCTCGCGAGACCTACCGAGGTCGTCTTCAAATGGTTCGTACTGCGGGAGGGGCCGTTTCTGCTCCCACCCCGGAAGCGGGTAGCAGCCTAGCTCTCGTTGCTCACGGCAATAGGGATGATCGGAGGGAAGAGGACCAGGCTCCGATCCGTCCGCCTCGAGACCGAGCCGCTCGTTCAGCAAGATCCGCTCTGGCGGAAGGAGGGCGTACTCGTGCGGATCTGGAGGGGACAGGCTTTCGACCCCTGGGAGAAGAGCATTTGCTCGGGCCGCCCAGAAGTCGAAGGCTTGCTGCTGCTCGAAGCTCAAGGGTTTCGGCTCCCGCTCCAGCATCACGCAGACATCGAGGCCTTCGATGGCCGATTACGCCCACCCCGCCCGCCCGACCCCAAGACCCATCGCCCCCCGCGCAAACAACGTCAAACGGTATAGGTGGTGTAGCACAGGATGGAAATACCCAGGAAAGCGGTCACCGTAGTGGTCTAGCAGCCGGTGCAGGATTGGAGAATGCTCGGCCAACACGACCCTGTCGTCGTCGTTTGCGGCTCCCCCTAGCAGAAGCTTGCGGACCACTCCCAGGGCCTTCCCATGCTGGATGAGGTTGGAGTCGTCCGAGACCAAGAACGGCGCCCCGAGAGTGTAGAGCAATTCCGCCCATCTGTGGGGGCAGCGGGGAGGCCATCGGAGCTCGACTTGCATTGATTCTCTCTCGACGCCCTCAAGCAGCTCGCACACCGCTTTGTTCTTCGATTTTATCTGGCCGACTTGATGGCGCAGGACCCGTCGACGCCAGTGCAAGAGAACGGGGTCGGCATCGGCATCATCCGGATCTTGGACGAAGTCCACGGCGACCTGCACGTCGTCTCTGTCAACCGCGACCTGCACAAAAAGAGTCCGGCTCCGGTCAGGGATTAAACAATACTCGATGTCTAGTCCGTTTGAATGCATTGTTTGAATCAATGACAAACGCATGGTGTCGGAAAGACAGACATGCTTACGATGGGCATGCTTGGATTGATATCAGAACTCACCAGGAGCTCCCCGTATTCTCGTGCACTGAGCGCCTTCCCCAACTCTGGATCAGCAGCATGGTGTCCGCTGAACCGCGCTAGAAGCGTCCGGAGCTCGGGTTGATGCAAGAGACGCTTTTTCAGGCCCCCTCCCAACAAAGACGCCGCCAAGTAGTTGCTTCCGGCCTCCATTACTTTCCGCACGTTGACTCCATCGGAGCCTTGACTTGGCGCAGTGAAGGGCCGAAGCAAGGCGGCATCCGTTCCGGCAAGCCCACCCTTCTGACGTGTGCCGTCAGCGCAAGCAAGCCCCACGATGCCGTCGCATAGGAGTACCTTCACAAAGAGACAACATAGTACTCTTGAAAGGGTGAATCTCATATGTCTTGATTGCCCACGCTCCGATGACGTTAGCAACGCGCGACCGCAAAAAGTTTGTGCTAGACCTTGAACACTTGGACACGCCAAGACGGGGTCTCCCTCCGATGACGTCAGCAACAAACGACCGCGAAAAGTTTGTGCTAGACCTTGGACACTTGGACACGCTAAGACGGGGCCTCCCTCCGATGACGGCAGCAACGAGCAACAGCAAAAGTTTGTGCTAGACCTTGGACACTTGGACACGCCGAGACGGGCTCTTCTTCCGATGACGTCAGCAACAAGCGACCGCAAAAAATTTGTGTCAGACCTTGGACACTTGGACACGCCAAAATATGCAAACCGTGACTTGGTTGATATCTGACGATATGATCATAAGGTAAGGTGCGTAAGAATTTCGATGGTGGTAGGAACTGAGCACCAAGTGCCATCATGCTTGCGAACGTGGGCGTTAAGTGTTGCAAGACATACCTCCGGATGTGGCCCGCACAGAGAGCAGCACTCCATGATCTGCCGCCCACACAGCTTGAAGAAGCCAAGGTTGCCTTACGCCAACACTCCTCTGACAAGATGGTCGCATCGGGGTTGTATTGACGCCGCACAGTCCTTGCAGCTGCAACGAGCGAGCTGAAAGCAGCACCCGTATTCTGAACGTCTCGTAGCAGTATCTGACAGGCTTTTTGCGTGATGACCACCCCGCGCGTCCAAGCGTACAAGCCGAGGGCCTCCCCGTTGAAATGAACGGTATGCTTCTCGGGGCATGCGCAGCAGTAGATACGGAGCTTGACCTGCACAAAAACGAAGACCAAGGTGCCGTCTGATGATTTGACAGCTTCGATTGGAAGCACGGCTGAGAGCTCTAGGATGACTCGCAATTAGAAGTGACTCAACATCACACGAGTTTAATCTGCGTCAAGCATCTCTCTTGACTAAAATCTTTCTCTTACTCTTTTCATATGTTCGTTGGACGTTGTGCCATCCAATCAATCTTTGCAAGAGGGTCAACTACAGGCGTGCACGATGGTGATCTTACCTCTTGCGACCAATACAAGTCGTATATTTGTGCACTCTGCCACAGACACGACCATTGGGTCTTGCAAGGGGTTGGCCCTCGCGGGCACGGGGCGGAGAGTCTCTCCGCAGCGCTCAGCTCCTCAAAACCCCGGGCCGTGAGCTCGCTCACTCGAACGGGCCTTTGCAGCAGCGACACCTCGGGGTCGTGGACCTGCCAAGAGTCCATCGGGCGAACGAGCTTGGGCACTTCCAGCTGCACGCCCTCAACTTCCATGGGCAACACCGTCGCAACACCGCGGGAGGCACCATGCGTGCACACGTTTGAGGGGCACACGCAGATGTTACACACTGGAATCGAGAAAGCGTTCCGATCATCGATCTGGGGGGCGCTCTCCGTTCCCCGCTTTCTCTCCTCGGCTGCATCCAACCCAACCTCCCCCATGCTGCCCGTTGCAGCGTCCACCTCCTCCCGCTCTATGCCTTTTGCCGCCCAGAGCGATTTGGTTCTCCGTTTGCCTGATTTCGCACTCGCCTCCCCAACGCCACCGGAGTTTTCTCCTTGCTCCGATCGGACTCGTTTTTCGTTCGTCTGAGCAGACGCGCAGCACCTTGCTGCACAAGGCTCCTCGTCCACATCAACGCCGCCAAACACCCTCGGATGCTGCTTACAGAAGCAACTTGGCCCTTCGCATGCGGCCCTCTCGTGACTGCCGACGACCAACTCCGCGAGGTACCCGTCCACGTCGGCGTCTGGCGCACACTCCTTGCCGTGCGCCATGCCGTCACCACCCTGGCGATCCCCCAGCCCGTCCTTCATAGACGTTTTTGCGAGCTCGAGCTGCTCCTCCGAAAACGAACTCCTGCTCAGCTTTTCCACTCCGCTAGGTCTGCTCAAAGCTCGCTTCACCCCTTGAATGTGCAAACAGTCAGCCGTCTTGCTGCATCCGCCACGCTTCTGACCCTCACAATACCAGCCTTTCTGCACCCCCTCTCCATAGTGGACCATCGTCCTCTTAGGGGAGGGCGAACCGACATTCCAGTACACCCCAAAAACCCGCTCTCCGGTTCTATCGCATGGTATTTCCACTACACGCGGCCCCTTCTGCAGCGATATGGCGCTCGCTAGCCCTGGCGGCTCCAATGCCTGTAGCACAAGCTTGTGCACGCACGGCGCCCGAGAGTACCGTCGGCCGCAATCGCATGTGCAGCTCAGGTTCCCCGTGGTTTCTCAATGCACCGTCTCGAGCAATGCGCGCACTTTGCTGGGGCGCCCGAGAGGTTTGGGTCTGGCGGTGTTGTGATTCCAAGTGCTAGCCAGGTAGACAGGACTGGCGGATCCAGGCTCGCCAACGCTGTAGAAAGCGCACTCTCCTGATCGGAGGCCATCGAGATACATCACAGCTTGGTCGATGATGGTCCGGCAACCCTCCATGTCGGACGCTTCGCCGTTCTCCGAGTGAAGTTGCCCCTGCATCCACAACAACAACATCTGGTTAGACATGCCGCAATTGGTGGAAGACTTGTAGACGCTCCACAAGGCTCCTAGCCGCGGTGTGATCCATCAGCATGAGATTCTTGACTTTTCCTCTATTCCTGAATGGATTTTTCTTGTTGTGCACACTTGGATCAATTACGCAGCATTCTCTAGGCTTAAAAAGAGCATACGGATAGTGCTCAATCAAACATTCACAAACAGATGCAGAGACTTCCAGGAATGGAAAATCTGCATTCCCGCTTACCTCCACTTGCGCGCTGGACCTTGCTGTCTCCCCCACCTTTCAACCCCTGTTCACCGCTGCTTGCGCTGCAGTAGTCTTGCGGCGCCCGCCTGGCCGTTCCTCCTCTGCCTTCTCTTGCAGTCTGCCAATCTCGGCCCCAGACACCGAGTCTTTCACTTGGCTCCATGGCTCCCCTAGTTTTTCGCGCTGGAACCAGACTTCGGCTGAACCCACCGAGCTCCGGGTGGTCCTTGCTACGCTGATTGTGAGCTTGTTAGCACACTGGGTGACGGGACCGAAATGCCGCTTTACGCACTCAAGACAAAGAGGCCAGCGCTTTTTCTGACCTCTGGCGACCGATTCGGGTGAGCTGATTGCAAAGCCCTTCAGTGCATGGTTTTTCCGGAATGTGAGTTGGTAGTTCTGTCACAAGTGTTTGTTTGCAAAGTGGGCATTTGGTAGCTAGTGAATTGGCGGGGTCGGCTCCGTAGGCTTGTGGATCTACAATAATGTTGCCACAGCTAACCTCCCTCTGACTGGAGATGTTCAGTCGGGCCAGACTGAATCCCGGGGTTGATTGCATGTTCCCCGAGCTCCCTCAAGATGTCAAGAGGGGTGGCCGGACTGCTTGCTGGTTAGCGATGGTTGTCTCTGGTAGAGTGCTAGATAGGTCGGAAAGACTCGGATGCGGAAGAGGGCCAGTTAGAAAATGAAAAGAAATGAGCGAATATCTGACCTTTTGTACCCTGATTTCCGGGTCGGGTGCCCTGTTGGCAGACCTTCTCGGACGGTCCAGTAGCCTGCTTACGTGGTCGGGTGCTCTGTTGGCAGGCTTTCCAAAAGGTCCACTCAATTGTACATATCCGGCGGGCAGTCCGGCGGGTTGTTGTCGTCAGATGGGTCAGACTGTTAACCCGATCGACCGCCCCGGGCCCTAAACCGACACTTGCGGCACCCGGAACGATTCACTTCCGCGCTCCATGTCGAGCAGGGGGTCTCGGGGGCCGTCAATTTTATGCCATTGAACAGATGGTGAACCCTGCCCTGGCCGAAAAGCTCCATCGAACTACGCCACCCGAAACGGCAGTTGACGCCAGCTTGACCGTCAGGAAGCGCGGGGCAGCCATCGTGGTTTGTTGCAGCACTGAATCCA